AGATTCAGCTAAAGGTAGAGAAGGAATCATTAAAGTATGTTGTTATGATCTACAAGCGGTATTACAAACTCCATGTGGGGACGTTAACATGTTTTACTATAAAAGAAAATTAGGTGTATACAATTTTACTATTTATGAGATCTCTTCAAGGGATGGTTATTGTTTTGTTTGGAATGAAGAACAAGCTAATAGAGGTGCCATTGAAATGGCCTCTTGTTTGTGGAAATACTTGAATGAAGTGAACTCAGTAGACATTCCAATAATATTTTATTCAGACAACTGTGCAGGTCAAAATAAAAACAAATTTATAGCTACGCTTTACATGTATGCTACAATGAAGTTAAATACTCCATCAATTACACACAAATTTTTATTATGTGGTCATTCCCAAAACGAAGGAGATGCAATGCATGCTTGTATCGAAAAAGAAAAGAAAAGATGTCTAAAAAGTGGACCAATTTATGTGCCTGAACAATGGATCCCTATAATAAGTTTAGCACGAAAAGGAGAGCCATATAAGGTTAATCAGATGGGTACTGAAGACATGCTTGACTTCAAAAAATTATGTTCTGACATTGGAAATAATTTTACAGTGAATAGTGAAAATGAAAAAGTTATGTGGGGTAAAATAAAAGTGTTAGAAGCTCGAAAGGATTCTCCATATAAACTGTTTTATAAAAATGAATTTTCTGAAAAGGAATTCAAAACAATTGCAGTAAGAAAAGTTGCAACTCGAGGACGAAGACCCAGAGCTCTTGGTGATGACCTTAATCTACAACTAGCCTATTCTAAGCCACCTGGAATAACTTCACTAAAAAAAAAGGTTTAATTAGCTTATGCGATGCAAATTGTATCCCAAACTACTATAAACCATTTTACAATAATTTAAATACTAACAATTGCCAAACTATTGAGGAAGACGATGAATAAGACTTATAATTGATTTAGCATTTAAAATTATTATGATGTTTGATTTTATTTTTATAGTTGTTATGTTTTTATGTTATTATAATAACTTTTATTAAAATGTTAATTTTAATTTTTAATTAATTTTAGTGTAATAAAAGTGCAATTGAATCATGTAACTTGACTGTCAAAGTATTATTTATTTTTAAATATTTTCAAAAAGTTAAATTTGTTTTAGGTATTAAAAACTGAGTTAATACCTTTTAAATAAATAAGACATTTTTATTTATTATGAAATTATTCAATAATAGAAATTCTTAACTTGATATTATTATTTTAAGGAATACAATAATAACAATAATTGTTAATAAATAATTATTATTTATTAATAATATTAATATAAATGGTTATTTAATAAAATTATGAATGCAATAAGGCCATATATCTCAAAACATTTATTTTTAATACAAGTAAATATTATTTCTGTTAAGTTTAAGTTCTTAAAAAGGACATCATCAAACTCAGAAGAAAATATTGAATACAATTTGTTATACTTATATCTGGCTGAAGATAACTCACTAATTTTTATAAGCTATTGAATCTTAAAAACGCTCTCCTGAACAATTTACCTTTTTAGATATACGGCCCTCTTGTACTGACAGTACGATATTACCTAGTTATAATGACTATTGTCATTGATTAAATGTACTGTATAATGTATATTTACCCGTACTACCGATGACCGATCCATCATCTATTCAGATTTAAAGCCAGTGTTTAACATGGAAAATCTTTAAAAATGTTGTATACTTATTACAACATAGTAAGTATAACATAAATAAACAATACCATTTAATAATTAAAACTATGTAAAAATATTTAATTTTGAACGGTAGAAATATATTTGGTGAAAGTGTAAGTTTGCTCTAATTATACAAAGTCACAAAGATGATATATTAAACACTATATAGTAGATACTACAGCAATATATTTCTTCGATAATTGGATAAGTAATAAGCTAATAAATAAAGAAATTGAACAACGGCAATACAGTTTTCTTACAGTCAATAAGTACTAAATGTATGAATCTCTAATACCTATAATATTTTTATTTTTTTTTTTATTTTAGAACTATTAGTAGAAACTATGATAGTTCGACAATTACAATATTAAAATTACATATACCTATAATATATTATATTTTATTATAATATAATATAATATATAGCAATATATTGTATTTGGTAATCGGGTAGGCAATAAACACACAATTGAACGTTATAAGCAATAGATTTTGGGAACCCTTGAATTCTCTTATCAAATATTGCTAGCGAACCGTACGCTCAGACTCCGCCGGTTACACAGGCGTCTTGCGACAAGATAATTTCCGATACCAAAACTCAAAGCGCATTTGTTACCAGTGTTGCCACACTTGGGGATTTTTCCCCATATTTGGTGAATTTTTACATAGTTGGGGATTTGGGGAGAAACTTTTAAAGAAATTGAAGTTTTGGGGATTTTTAAGAAATTGTGTGCTGTGCTCAATATGAACAAATTTAATTCATTAATTATACAAATTTTCAGAATATGACCCAGTATCTCAAGTTCAAAAAAAATTTCGCAATGGTTATCAATGGTTTTTATGGCTTTAATCACCCGCAATTATCAAAAAAAAAAATCGTTTCGATAGTTGACAGTTGTAACTATCGCGCATTCGCTCTCTTATTCGCGATTCTATTGTTATAAGCCCGAGTGGCGAGTGCACATGCCATATGGTTATCTTATCTATGACTGCATAATCAATGAAGAGTATGAAAATGTAAATTTTAATTTTATACTAACTAAAAAGTATAAACCTTTTATTATAATAAAAGTATAAAAGTATAAACTAATAATTATATATTATTTATTGTTTAGTGACAAGTACTGATGATGAATATGTTCAAGGCAATAGTCCTCCTCCAACGCCATGTGGCAAGAAACAAAAAACATGGCATTACGTCTACGAACATAAAAATCAAGAACACTGGGAACACGATGAAGATTACAAAAAGTGGATCGGACGTAGTAAGAAAGGACATTTTTATTTTTACTGTAAATCTTGTTTGAGCGATTGCAAGGGTGGGTTGTCGGCAGTGAAAAAACACCAGTCATCGAACAAACACAAACAAACTATAAAAAATGTCAAAGTCACTTCTGTTTTTGATATGCCTTCTACCAAAAATTTGATTTCGTCTGTCCGTAAAGTAAAAATTGCAGAAATTCGTATAGCATCGTTTATTGCAGAACATAATTTACCAATAAATTCGGTTGACCATCTGGTTGGGTTAATAAAATCTATTGATTTACAACCTAAAGAATTAGAGAAGTTATCATGTAACAGAACTAAATGTACAGGTCTCATAAATAATGTTGTTGGAGCTACAGGATTTGAAAACGTTATAAATATTATGAAAAACCATAGATTTTCGATTCTAGTTGATGAATCGACGGACCATAGCTGCATAAAACATTTAGCGATTGTTGTTAGAACATGTATAAATTTTGAAGTATCTGACTCGTTTGTTACCTTGTTGCCATTAGCAGATGCCACATCACAAAATATGTACGAAGTTATTACTAATTTTTTTAATAATCATCAGATCCCATATAAAAACAACTTAATTGGATTTGCTTATGATGGAGCAAATGCAATGATGGGTGTAAACAATTCCCTACAAACCAAGTTAAGAAGTGATGTTCCAAGTTTGTTTATATTAAAATGTGTTTGTCACTCATTGGCCTTATGTGCAGATTATGCCTGTAAAAAATTGCCAGATACAGTTGAAAACATGGTTCGATCGATTTATACATATTTTCAACAGAGCTTTAAACGTCAAAAGGAATACGAGTCTTTTCAAACTTTCTGGTCAATTAAGCCACATAAATTGTTGCAACTATCAGGCACCCGATGGCTTTCTGTATTAGCTGCCATTGAACGTATTTTGAAACAATACAAAGCTCTCCAATCATTTTTTCGTATAGAGAAGTTTAAAGATGTGTTAAACGGAACAAACATTTCCAACTATTTAGATGACCCAAAAAACAAATTATATTTAGAGTTTTTAACTTTCATTTTGCCTACAATAGTAAATGTAAATCTGGAATTTCAATCAGAAGCTCCCAAGTTATACTAGCTTTATGATAGAATTGCTTCCGCTTATAAATTTATTCTACAGTGCTACATAAAACAAAATATTTTAAATAAAACTGACATTTCAGTACTGCAGTACCGTAATCCTGAAAATTACATACCATCAGAAAACATATATTTGGGACCTGCAGTAGCTGTAGCATTTCAAAATAATGTCTTAACCTTACAAGAAAAAGAAACTTTTCAAACTGATTGTTTAAGTTTTCTGGTAGAATGTGCCAGGCAAATATTTGTTCGATTTCCATTTAATTCCAATGAAGTAAAATCATTAAAACATATGACATTTTTAGACCCAAACAATGTAAAAAAGACATCAACTTTAGGATTGGTTTCCATATGTTTCCCTAAATTAGTAAACGACCCAAATGAACTTGACAGAGAATGGCGTTTATTTATCAGTAACGTGAACATTGACAAAGACAAGTCTGTTCTTTCATTTTGGAAACATGGTCTTACTATTCTCAAAGGTGATGATCAAGGCTCGTAAGTTCATGCCCTAAAAAATGCCTAAATAAGCATGCATTTATGCACTTAAAATTGGCAAAATATGCTTTGAAATATGCCTTAAAAAGTTAAAAAATATGCATTTATATGCACTAAATATCTCAAATTATGCACTTCAAAATGCTTACTTAAAATTTTTTTATTTATATTTAATAATTATTTATTTTTGAAATAACATGAATTATCCATTCATTTTTTTTATAGCTATATTTTATTATTTTTATGTTACAATTAAAAAAAAAATAGATTTTAAATACTATTTAATACTATTCCTGAGCTTCATGAACTGTGTATAATGTACGTCTGTGCCAGTTATTCATTTTAAATCTGAAACTTTTAAAACAAATTTATTCATTAATACTGAAATAACATTAATAACTTAATTACAAAATTTATATTTACCTTAGAAATTACATTGTACTATCAGCGATTTTTTAATGTTGTCAAGCTTTAATGAACGACGGTTATCTGTGACTAAATTTTTGTATTTTGAAAATGACCTTTCAACGTCAGTAGAGGTGATTAGTGCATATTTAAAATACGAAAAATCATCAAGGGTCATGTCTTCGGGTAGTCCTAGATTTGTCATACTTTCCTCTTCACCGGATAATATTTTGGAAATTTTGCAAATCATTTTGTAGCCGGAATTACTATTTAGAACTGAATCTAATTTAGTTTTAATACTGTCACTATGTTGCCCTTGAAGTTTCTTAACTATGCCACTTATTGTTTCGGTTATTTTAATTGAATCAAACAATGATAATTTTTGCTCTTGAAGTTGTTTTATGGCCGTTGGTAAACATTCAAAGTTCGATTTGATATAAATCAAATTTGCTTGCAGCGTTTGAGACTTCAATACATCTTGAGCTTTTTTAATTGCTACGCTATCATTTGAATCAAACGATTCGACAACATGCTTAATTGACTCAAAATGTTCACAATAATATATAGCTGCCAAAATCCATGTTCCCCAGCGAGTTAGAATTGG